TCTAAGGTAAGGAGGCTCAACAAAGGTCTAAGCTACTAGAATGAACGGCACATTTCGGCTTGCTTTAGTCGCTTGCCTAAGAGTGGTGAAAGTGTTATGCCTAGATCGACTAAAAGGGCTTACCAGCTACCTTCCCCTTGTAAAGTCTTGAGCTTGAGATTGAATTCTTCCTAACATACGGCTGTCTTTCATAAGAACAGGAAAGTCTTTACAGGAAGTGATCGAATCAGTACGCCTTGCCATAATGAATGTCTGTTGGAGATAGAGGTATGGCGAAGAGCTTTATAACTTTTCTTATTGGATTGAGAGTGCCCGTTATCTGCCATAGCCGCATGAAGAATTCTGAGAGGAGGTCTTTTCCAATACCAAGCCCTAAAGAGAAGGGATTGATAGATCGCTTCTCACCAGTAGCTAGCCTGTCTACTGTCCCATAGAAGGGGAATCAAGCCCGATTCTATCTTGCTTTCACCTCCGCTGTGAAGGCTCTTATCTCAGAAGGCATACAAAAAGCTCTTCCACGCCTAGCATCGTACTTTCCACTACTCGTGTAAGTCCTCCTTCAGAACAGGTAGGTGAGTCACTCTCCGCTAACCTGGTAGGTGGGACTTGCTCTACTTTGACTTCTTTATTTCATAACACTAGCCAACCAGCGTACCTGGAAGGAGCTGACACTCGTCGAGAGGATAAAGGGTTTTTGATCTTGTCAGATGCTTACAGGATATAGAATCACGTTTCCGGATGAGTTAAGTTCTTGTTCATTTCTCTTTCTAAAAGGGAGTCTCAATGAGACCTAAGAAAGGTAATGAGTCTGAATGCCTTCAGTATATTGTTGCTGGCAACCTTTCACTTAGAAGCAATAATAGGAAGTCCTAGGCAGTCTTATCTTATCTTATGGGCAATGCCCCCTTTGCCGTAAAGAGTAGCCATATCCAGTGCGATCTCCTCATACTCAGGCGTCGCCTCTAATCCCATTTCAAAACTCTACAACCGCTCCGGTCACACTGCACCTTAGAGCTTTAACGGGCCTTTAGGCTAAGGATAGATTGCCTGATAGACGAATTCGTCGACCTCCAATGCTCTAATAAGCTATCTTTCTCCCTGGGCTTCTCCGCTAACAACCAGTCCTGCAACCCGACCGGTTGGACAAGAAGAGCTTCCCTTCCTAGTCCTTGATCCTAGTTACTAGCCTTCAAGGCCGACTGCAATTCAAGGTGGTACGAGCTAGTGCGAACTAACTACTTGAATCCACACCTCAATTGTATTCCTTTCCTGACCTTCAATCAAAGGATTCCACCTGGCACCGACAAATCCCATTCTAGCGGGGAAGAACCACCATCCGGAGAAGCTGCATCTTCAATGGGTAGATCCCCTCCAAGCTTGACTCATAGGATGGGGAAAACCAAGCAACGACCAGCTCATTCACCTGAATTTGGTTGGGGCACAGCGGGTATTGAACATCTAAGTGCGAGCCTACCTCCGCTAGTGATCCCTCTTTCCCTGGAACCAATGGTTACGAATCTGCATCGAACTAACGAAAGAACCCCTGACGGAACTGAATTAGACTAAAGTGCGGAACAACCATGCGGAACCATTTCATCTCATTCCTCTTCACCATAAATAGCTCCATCCAAGCCTACGGCAGCTTATTTCCGATCTCTCCCAACCCCGAAGTCAGACCAGTCTGAGCCGAACCGAGACAATGAACGGCGAATCTCAACCTTTTTTGTTTCATCCTCTCTGGGCATCTAGACGGAGAAAGAAGGGACGAGTGTATCCGGGCCATGATCCGATCCATATTTTATCTGTATATTCCGGCAGAGCATATCGATATCGGGATCCCTCCAAGCCGGCTCTGGGACAGCATCAAAAGTCCTTCGTTCCTCCTTGCAATGAGCAGGGACCAGGGAAGATGTATGAGGCTGGTAAGGTAAGTACATCGATTCATCTCTAGCAGCCAGACTTAGGTCATTAAACCCTTATTCCGGTGTCCTTGGATGAGAATCTTTCTATACTATACGCATGCCTTCTGGCACAACACACACCCACTCAGAAGAGCACACCACCCTAATCCCTAAAGAAGAGAGGGAAAGAGCGGAAAAGCTGGTTTGACGTCAACAGTTCTTCCTTGTTCCGACAAAGAGTGTGTTTCCTTATTCTTTTTTAGCTTTGAGCTTGGTTCAGATTGGACACGTCCTCACTCGTTCTTTTTTTTTCAAGATCTTTGAGCCTCATAAGGATTCTTCTAACTGGTCTGTCCCAGTGCTAATAGACCCACTCCAATCTCGGGAACCTTTCCTGAGCTACTAAAATCTTGGAAATCGACTAGCCTTACTTCTTTCGGGGCTCCATCCCTCTTGACTATATAGGTAGGGGCTTAGCTGCTCCTAGTCAGATAAAAGTTCTCTACTGGGCTCTCGGCTACCCTGAACTACTAAAAACCCAGCCTTTGATGTGCTTGCCCAGCCTCTTCCACTAGAAAGAGCTTCTTCTCTTAAGGCTTCTTGCCAGTAGTGAGAAAAACCTTGCTTATCTATCTTTAGAAAGAGGATAGAGACAAAGATAACTAGATCAATGTCTTCCGTCTTCGTCTGCTAGAACCTTCAAGGAAGATGCAAAAGGCAGTACAGATGATAAGAGCATCTTTGCGTCTTCTCGTCTGGATCTATATAGGGGATCGAATGCATTTGAACTCCTTCTATCTAGCGCTCTCAAGCTGAGGTAACTCGAAGCTTTGAATGGCTCCTGCCTAGCTTCCTTCCAGTGATTAGAGTCTTCTGTTTGCTGTTTTTCATCTTGCTATGAGTGCCTTTACCCTTCTCTAAGAAGCCATAGGACTGTGCTATGAGGGAGGAACCCTTAGGTTTGCGGGGCATTGGATTCAATCCAGCCACAGGTTCTCCCTTTCAAGTAGCATAGACAATTTGTCATTGAAAAGAGTAGAATCTTACGCCAAATGTCGTAGATAAATATACTCAGCCGGGAGAATAACTAGCGCCTGTCTCTAGTGATTATACTAGAGGGATCCTTTTTTCTTATTCTGACTAGGGTAAAGGCACTATCGGACATGGGATTTTTTATATAGAAAATACTCCTCGTGTAAATGGAAGTATGTCACATGGGTGTGGCCTGAAATTCATCCATGAACCACTGCTTCTCCATAGAAAATCCACGAATTTGGCCGAGTTGGCTCTAATTCAATGCCTGTCTCCATCGAGAGTTCCCGGATATGCTGGGAATCCTCTCAAGGATGGAGGTGGTCGTCTAAGAACTGCTGGGTCCAGGGTAATGGCGCCTTCCACACTTAGGTTGATGCTGGCGGAGTGTGTTGGTTTTTTTCTTCTAGTATTTTTTGATGCAGTCAGAACGTCTCATCATATGATATTCAAGGCTAATTGAGTTCTTGCAGCTAGGGCAGCATCCAATGTCTGGCTCGGTCTTCATCGAATGTCAGACTGGTTCAAAGCTGTTCAATGATGGCTGAATCAATGCCATCAGGCTTTCTAGAATGTAAGGGTTCGAAAAGTCAGTTCAAGGGCTCAAATCCTGATATTCTATGCTTGAGGAATGTCTTTGCGGATGATATGCTAGCAGAAAACAAATTGATATGTCAGTATAAAACCTAAGTAAAGAAGATCATTGAAATCCTATTGTTATTGCTTTCACTACAAAAATGAAAAGGATAGAAGCTGGAGACTGGCCTATATTCCTACTAATGTGATCCCCATTACTGAAAATATGTTATACACTACGATATATTGCTCTGATGTTTTTACAACTATCTTTTTTGAAGCAGATAGTTCACAGTGCTCATTCTATCGATACTGGGAAAGAAAAAAAAAGAATGTTTACACTCAATTTTCATTACGAAGATGTATCACGTCAGGATCCGTTGCTCAAACCGAATCACGCCAACGTTATGGAAGTTCCTGGATCGTGTAAAATAAGAGTAGTACCAAAGGCAGCACCCTCTGATTTCATAATAAAAAATGGAAAATTGGCTATGGAGATTCCGTGCGGTCAGAAATTAATACAGACACAAAGGGCTTCGACAGGAAAGGAGTTTCGATCCAATCCATTCTTGGGAAAAAATCAAGACAAAAAAGGATATGTCAGTGACCTAGCACGGCAAAGCACTCTCCGAGGGCATGGAATGTCTCATTTTTTGGTAAGAATCTCCGCAGTAATGTCTCTGTTAGATTTTCCGGTCGAAATACGGGAAAAGTCCATTCAATTCTTGATGGAAATGGAGTTTTGCGAATTCTCCCCGGAACTGGAAGATCATTTCGAGATCTTCGAACATATTCGAGGGTTCAATGTCACTATTGTAACTTCGGCCAACACACAAGATGAGACTTTACCACCGTGGAGCGGCTTTTTTCAAAAAGATGAGGGGGAAAGTCAGTAAGATGTCGGAGAAGCAAAATATACGAGATCACAAACGTAGATTGCTCGCGGCTAAGTATGAATTGAGACGAAAGCTTTATAAATTTGTAAAGATACCGATCGATCTAGTGATATGCGGGACAAACATCGTTAGAAGTTGTCCAAGTTGCCAAGAAAGAGTTCCTTTGCACTAGTAAGAAACCGATGTATTTCCACGGGTCGCCCTCGTTCCGTATATCAGTTCTTTTCTTTCGAATTTATCGTCTCGTTTTTCGTGGATTAGCATCTCGAGGTCCTTTGATGGGCATAAAGAAATCGTCTTGGTAGCATCAAACCAATAGAACAAGGGTTAGCTCTGCAGCTGGTCTACAAGCAAGGTAAGTAGGTCCATGCGACCGGCCCCGGATGTACCCTTTAGCCGCGAGGGGAACCGGGTAAACAAAGTCGCGATCAGAATGAATGGTAGTTCGCTGGGCCTGTCTTTTGCTCCCAGAGGTGCTGGTTCGAATCCAGTTCGCGACAAGTACTCATACTAAAGTGTGCTCCGATAGGTATTTCCACTGTTCGATACCTTTTCGTGATGACTGTTCCCTGCTCCATTATCAGCCAACGGCTCTAACCGCTTCTATTGGCTCAGTTGGATGGAGTACATCTTTGTGCGAGACAGTGTAGGAGTTGAGATCCAGTGCGCTTAAACTCTTCTAAGAAGGAATGATTACCTGGTAAAAGCTTGAAGCTATACCCTTTTCATTCAAGTTGAGCTTCGATCCTAGAGAAGAAAGAGAGAGGGTTTACCAGCAGTGTACACCTTCACCCTCTGCTAGTTGACTTATGAGCCCTCCCCTCTAGGCTGACAGCTTGCAAGTTAGTATGACATCCAGTAGGAAGTCTATCTTTTCGGGATGCAGGGGCAATGAAACGAGATGGGATGTTATATAGAATATAGGTAGCTTATGTGCATGTTAGTGAAATACCTGGTTGTCGAGTCATTCAGCTAATGTATGATTCCTAGTTCGATCAAAAAAGCCTTAGAAAAAAGGACAGGGAGCTCTAGCCTATTTCAATTTCCGGATCTAGCTCAAAAAAAATTACAGCGCTGGGAGAAGAACTGCGGATGTGTACGGGCGTAGGTAGGCCAGTCAATAGACTCTCTTTCTCTCAGCAGAAGCACTGGACAACTTGACTCAATCACATACTAGGGACCCCTCTTTCTAAGTTTGGTAGTCTCTCATCTATAGAGCTGGGTAGAAGGAATGTACCGAACGAAGTTGCTAAAGGCTGGCATCCATCCTTCCATTTGATCAAAGGCATCAGAGCATAAGTAATTCACTCGAAAGGAGAAGAGCGTCAAGCAGCCCCAACTCTAGCTCCGTAGAGCAGGAGAATGCTCAGGTCCGTCTACGTGTGATTCCTCATTTTCTTCCTAAAACGTGAGGTGAGCTGCTGATTCTACTCTTGGAGTTACTCAATATAATGCTTCCTGAAAAGGATTTGAACCAAGAAAAGAAGAAACCCCCGGACTAGAGCCTTCAGTGCGGGTGGTCAGGTGAGCCCTAAGAAAATTGGCTTAGAAAAGATGAGATAGGGTGGATGATTGATTGGTACCGGTTAATGATGCGATGGGTCCTAATCAATGTGATTGGCATAGTTCACTTTTAGCCCCAGCAACATATAGCAGTTGCATTTGACCGAGTTGAAGCAGCAGATCCAACCAATCCGTTGACCAAGTGAAGGCTGCATAGGCACTAGTCACGAACGTCCAACTCGAAGCAGCTACTTCACCCCTGGAACAAAGCAGTGGTCCTTCTTCGACCTTCCGTAAGACCACCCCTTCTCCGCACTCAAGTTGCTGTGAGTGAAGACTATCATGCCTGTTTCATGAGCAAACTAACTACCTTGTGAAGCAAATACACCCTCATAATCACATAACACTGCCTGCCTGTGTGAACAACCACCAGCTTCAACAGCTACGCCTAATCAATTACTGTTAGGATAAGCGAAATCGAAGAGGTTAGTTAGAAGGTAAGGCACGGAGTGATTAACTAGTTGCGGGTCTTTTGTATCATGGGCCACAGCTACTTGGGTAGAGACCGCTGAACATCATTTGGGCAGGCCTAAGCCCATATAGATTCTGGGTAGCCCCATAGAAAACTAGTATACAAGTAGGCCACATCGCTGTAAGC